TGTTGACTTAGTATACAAAGCATATTTCCAGATCTGTGAGATTTTGCCATCGAGAAATAGAATTGAAAATATATTTATTAGTTCAGGGCAGAAAATTTTGGAGGGAGTTCAATTTGGTAAATTTACATGTAGTGTTTTGACTTTTGAGAGCTATTCACCAAAATAAAAATCAGCCTAAGTAATTGAGGTACAGGAAAACTCTAAAAAGATATCTACATGTACACATTCACTTACCAAGTTCATGTGATATAGAAGTAGCAATGTCAATAAACAAACAGTTTTGCAGTTTTTTAAACACATGACCAACATCAGTCAAATACTGCACAAAATTAAGAGATGAATCTACTCAATAATAATCACGAGATTACACACCTTTGATTGTTGTAATCAGATACACCCATTGTTCTCATGATATCCTTCCTTGTTTGGTTTGGTATTAGCTGTGCAGCAAAAAGCTCTGTTTACTAGAATGAGTCTGTAATATTTCCATTGAGTTAATACCTATACAAATATAGCAGCATTCATTGCACATGGAGCCTGCTTACCTGTTACAAGGCCATACAGGATTGAGCTTGACATCTCCTAATAAAATGAGACAAACAATAATAAAAGATAGTATCTCCATATCCAGGTAAATGTACTTGCTGAAATAATTAATTACCATAATTAGTACCATTAGTACCATAATTAACTTTCATCATACCATTTACAGCAATAACTAAGATGAGCATTGATGGACAGAAAAAGCCGGGTAATCAAAAATAGGCCAACTATTGGATTCTTTCCTGATTTAGTACTCCCTGACTTGTTGTCTTAAGTGAGAGAGGCAGCCATTAGCTGGTCAACTGGAGGAAGCTTGACAGTAGTTTCACAGTCCAATACTTGCTATCTATTGAGAAATTAACATAAATTATCTGTTAAAACTGAAAGGTTAAAAAAGGGCATGTCATATTTAGTTAAATCACAAACTTAATTTCTACATAACATAAGGACATCAATATGTATTAGAAAATGTAATATAAATTGGGAGTGGTTTCAGAGCTATTTCATATTTTTTGGAAAAATCATGGGCCTTGGATATTTTTTAAAAGTTAAATTTTTTAAAATGGTCATAACTTTAAAGTTGAAGTTGGAATTGGCTCAAACTCTCTAAGCAGCATAAGGACATCAATATGTATCAGAAAAAGTAATCAAAATTGGAGGTAATTTTGGAGCCATTTTTGGGAAAACCATATTTTTATAAAATTAGCTAACTTGAAAAATTGAAGTCAGAATCTGCTCAAACCTTCTACATAAATGTAGCTTAAGGACATTAAAAATGCAATAAAAATGAGGGGGTGATTTGGTACCATTTTTTCAAACAATTGGTCAATTTCTTAAAATGGCCATAACTCAAACAATTGAAGTTGGAATCAGCTCATGACACATGCAGCAATATAGTAATTAAATAAAAAATAAAAATAAATAAGTGATATTTCCACCAGGATATATACAGGAACTAAAGCAAAACTATGATATGCATGCAGATACTATAAACCAAGAGCTATTGCAATTGAGTTTTGAACATGATCTCTATTAGAAAAACAATGCAAGTACACTTTTTACAGCAATGTTTTATTTATTAGTGCGTAAAAACTTGTATGCATGCAGTGTCAAATCCTATACATTAATAGCATGATATATGTGTATGTCTCTTGGACAGTGTGATGGATGTGAATGTCTTTTACATAACTTTAAAAACTGCGCAAATTTCGAGTACATGAAAAACAACAAAGGAGGTATAAAAATGCATCATGGAGGATCATCAGCCTTAAAGAAGGAGAAAATACATGCATGTACTGTAAGTGGATATGGGAGGAACACGGTGAACTATGAATAATATTATTATATGAGGTCACAGGCTCACAGCTCTGCAGATCTGGTCACAGATAGAACTGAGAGGTCAGGTTCACCCCATTGAAGCAGTTAAAGCAGTCACATGTACTTGTTTCATTAATCATGGCTTTATCTAAGGGACCACTGCCACTATCAAGAGCTGAAACAATACAGGAAGCAACTCCTGTGCTAAAAGAAAGCAATTGTATAGCAGCTATTGACTTTGGAACATCATCACTATCAGTAGCATACACCATTCCGTTGAGTCGAACAACAAGAGGAGATATAAAAGTTCTGCCACTTCACAGTACACTGGAAAGAATCCCTAATGCTATACTGATCATGAAGGATAAATTGGGGCAAAAGTATTCAACAATTGCAATTGGGCCAAAAGCACAAAGTCTATACAGCAGTGTAAGGAACAATTTTGAGAACTTCGCATACTTTGAAAGAATAAAAAACTTATTAGAAAGAGACAAAGTGAGTGAAAGATAAAACATAAAACATTATAATGACATTATCCCTTATAGTCGTTAAACCGTACTACTCAAGTACATTCATTCACTGGAGGATCTTATTATCTTATTGAAGTTATAGCTTTTATACTAACAAACCTCAAGGAGACATTAGTGACTCATTTCAAAGGACAATATAAGTCAACTAATTTTGATTGGGTCATTACTGTTCCTGCTGTATGGAAAGCAAGAGCAAGAAGAATGATGAGAGAAGCTGCTTATATGGTAAACTAATACATGCTTTGTATTTCATTATGCTAATATTGTAGGCTGGTCTGACTTCTAATGGTCCTGGTATAATAAGGTTCACTCCAGTTGGCTCTCCTTTACTACGTCCACAGGAGGTTAATCCTGAGAAGCTATCATTAGCTTTAGAACCAGAAGTAGCTGCTATATATGCACAGCATTGTTCACAAATATCAAGAACACCACAGCAGAGATTGAGAGATATATGGTAGTTGATATAGGAGGAGGTACAGTTGATATTACTGTACATGACATGGATTATGGGAAAGTTAGTGTAGCATTACCACCAATGGGAAACACCTGGGGAGGAACAACCATCAATGAAACATTATCAATGTTACTACAAGAAATAGTAGATGATAAAGGTTTTAAGGCTTTTTTAAAATCTGATCCAATCGGTGCCAAGGCAGCACTAAATAAGCTCTTTTATGAAGAATTTGAGGGACAAAAAAAAGTATTTGGAGAAGCAATAGTGGGTATACACAAAGTAGTGATAAATTTACCTAATAAATTAGTACAATTCTATGGCAATGATATGCTTCATGAAGCAAACAAGATGAACATGCATTATGACCCAGGAGAAGGTTCACTAGGCATAGGATATGATCTTTTAGAACAAAAAGTATTCCAATTCACAATAGATAAGATCATAGAGTGTGTGAGAGCAGCATTTGATGAGCTACCTAGTAAAATCAATACAGTTTATCTAGTAGGAGGGTTTGGAGGGTGTAGGTTTGTTAGCCAAAAGATAGAAGAAGCTATTGCTCAGCATTGTGGCATTCTTTATGATAATATAGTGTGTCCTGTAGATCCAGATCTTGCTGTTGTATCAGGAGCAGTAATGTGGAGGAAAAATCCTAACATAATCCAATCACGTGTTGCTGATGCTACTTATGGGACAGTTGTTGCTCCTGTATTTAACCCAGCAATATGAGCACTACAAGTACTTTGATAGAGAAGATGGTGTACTGCGGTGTAAATCTGTATTTGCTGTATTTGTACTCAAAGGAGAAGAGATAAAAGACGAATTATATAAAGATACATACACACCTGGCTCACAAAGAAATACGTTAAAAAGCATTCCTATATACTGTACATCAAATGATGGAGTTCAGTATATAAGGGATAAAGAAGGTAAACTAACAGTACGTAAGATTGGTGAGCTGGTACTTAATATTCCTAATCCTGAATTCCTGATAATATACCAAGGGAAGAGAGACATATAGACGTATATATGGATTTCAGTGGTACAGAGATACAAGCAAGAGCTCAGTATAGTATCACAGGAGAAGAAGTGAAAATAGTTTGTGACTTTCTATCAAAACAAGACTAATAACAATAATAAATAGTTAGAGTATACATGCATCTACATGTATATAGTGCTCTTTAGAACAGCCAGCATCAATAAACTTGTGTGTATTTAATTTTGAACTTTTGGAACAGCATTAGTAATGAAGTGATTTTTTGTGTAGATGTACATTATACATGTAATTTATAAAAAATTAATAAATCCATCAATTTTGCAATAATTTCTTAACAAAAATAGTGTCAAAATTTTAAAAAACAATACAAATATATCACTCTAACTATAGCTACAATCAACTACTAATAACTAACAATAACTATTAATAACTACTATTAGCAACTCACATACCGTACAAGATGATTTATTGGCGAGGAATTAATTGGTGATGGTGGTTCTATGAAGAAATCACCAATATAAAATCAGCCATTTTGCTTGAATCTAAGCATGCTCAATGGCACTTGGCACAAAATCTCCAATATAAAATTCGCCAATTTCTTTCCACTAGCAAATTCACCAAATATCACTCCCACCAATAAATCATCTTGTATGGTAGTTAAGGAACATGAGATAATCACAATTGGATATTTAGTAAATTAGTATCAGTCTGATCAGGTACCTGTATAGAAACACACCCCTCATCCCCATCAAATTATCATACAGACTGTTCTTCTTTCAGTGACGTGGAGGAGAAAACTAGAACTATACTGTACCCCCTATGAGTGAATCAATCTAGACCCTATGGAATAATAAATTAACTTGTGAATTGAAAATATTTAAAATGTCACTTATTAAAGGATGTAGATGTACAGTACATGTATATGCACAAATTGACATGTGTAGTTTTACATTTAAATTTATACAGTGTAACCAAATACCTGGGCCAATATGTACACATTATTTGTGATTTACATGTACATTGTACAGGTATAAATTTAAGAGATGGCACTGAACTATGTCATTGGATGTGGTCTTGTCTTAGTCTAACTAAAGTGAGTGGGGCTTACCACATGTCATAACATCTATTGCCTTTTCATGGTGTGAGTAAAGTTCTATTTTAACCACCAGGTCCTGTAATATTAACAATAATGAAAGGAAGCATAACCAACATCAGAAATTACATCAGACTAATGTATAATAAATAATAATTAATAACATGTACATGTACATGCACAGTATTACAAAAGGTTGAAAGTAAATCCTAGAAGAATCGAAGTCAACATCATTCTACCAGGAATATGTTCACTTAAAACTAACAGTAACAGGTAAAGTTTTCCTTACCTTGTTTTTCTAGTATAATTTTCTATTGAAAGTTCTCTAACCAGCTGGTTGAAAGAAATCTTATTCTGTCTATTCAATATAATATTTTTAATCTATATTATAGAGACAGAGGATTAATTGTGCAAGTGCATTTGTGAGTTCAATAAAGGAAGAACTCAGTGATGTCAGTACAGTTGACAAAAAAACCTCTGAGCATTATGTTGAAATTTAGAAATAATTAATCTTTTAAATATTAGCGATCAGCTTTGCAATGTACTCAATTTGTTTCAAAATGCTTCGTATCACAAATAGATCTACATGTTCATGTATTGGAACAATATGAAAGTAGCAAAAGGACTAAACCCAATTGAATAATAAAGGTTCAGTCGAGTTACATATACAATGTAATTTCTACTTGGCATAAGGACAACAATTATCAGAAAATGTGTTAAAAATTGGATGTGATTTCTGAGCCATTTTTGGAAAAGGATGAGCAGTACTAGCATCGCAAGCCAGTTAGCCAGACCTAGTAAAGTTTTGCAAAAATTGATATACT